AACTGGCGGAGTTTACATATATCCATTACAGGTAAGGAAAAAAAACTGACGGAGTTAACATTAGACCTTTTATTGCCTTTTTATTCTGGTAGACTATACAATCGCCCAGGTATATAATATTATTTCAGGGCACGGAAATATAACTATTTGCTAACATTATTATAGGATACCACGAAATAACAAATCTAATTATATTACACTGTATAGGTGCATTATCTTGACACGGCGCGGTGGCGGTACAGAGGGCTCTCGCATGCACTCGCACCGATTATCTCGATTTGCATTCTGAAAAAGAATTCTTTTTTTCCACAACATGTACGAAGGATCGATCGAGGCACATTTAAAAAATTGTATTTAGTTAATTAAATATTTGAATTGAAAATCTGTATTTTTTTGAATTTTCAACAATATTTATTGCAATTCAAATTACAAAAATAAAAAATGTGGTTCGATCGTTACCTTGTAAATATTACGGAGAATCCGTATATTTTTTCAGAATGAAAATCGTGATAATTGTCGAAACGTAGCGTTGGAATGAGAAACAATAGTTTTTGTTAAAAAAAGACGTGGTGGTGAGGCCCTTTAATTAAACAGAAAAATCAAGCTCATAAAACTTATAAAATGTCTAAAACCCAAAACGATTATAATATTTTTTCCAATAAAAGAGCCCAATACAAAATACTATCTAAACTAAATTACAGTTCCTATATTGCTCGCACTGAAAAAAATTTAATAAATAATCCAAAAAGTTTTTGGCGTCGAATAAAAAAGTTAAAACATAGCGACGGCCTGCCTGGTCTTATAAATTATGGTAACACTAATTCTAACGACCCTATCAAAATTTCGAATATATTTAATGATACTTATTTTCTTCATACTCCTCTCCTCAACACGTAATACCACGAACAGTCGTTCATGAAAATAATCAAATGAATATATTCGATTGTATCTGTTAGTGAAATTTTTGATGGTTTGTCTAGTTTAGGAACTAATTATATACCCGTCCCGGATAACAATCCCAATTCACAAATTATTTACACTATTATTAAAATCAGGCATTTTCTCACAGATATGGAAACAATGCTTTATCACTCCAATTTGGAAATCAGAAAGTAAATCTATTATTTCTAATTATCGTCCTGTCGCCAAACTAAGTTCACTACCAAAACTCCTCGAAAAAATAGCGGAACAAAAATTATCTATCCATTTTAAATATATTTTTGTAGATAATCAACATGGTTTTAGAAAATCTAAACCCATTAATACTAATATTGTCGTCTTTTAATTGCATTTAACAAATACTATATCTAATGGTAGCCAAGGTGATGCTATTTATGCAGATATAAAATAGCGTTCGATTCAGTTAACCACCGAAAGTATAATTCGAAAGCTTCATAATATAGGATTATGTGGTAGCATTTTATCCGGGTTGTCTTCATATCTATCCGATCGCACTAAAATAGTTAAAATATCCAATACGAAGTCAAACCCACTGCAAGTTTCATCTGGAGTTATTCAATTAGGGCACTTATACCTTTTCTTATTTTTAATATTTATTAATGATATTTATACAGTATTTAAACATAATCAATTCTTGTTATTTGCAGACGATATAAAAATATATTTTACAGTTAATCACATAAATGATTGTTTAAAACTGCATCAAGATCTTGATCATTTTTCTAAATGGTGCTTAGATAATGGATTACATCTAAATGTGAATAAGTGCATGAAAATATCATTCCACCGAAAACGCTCAAATATAATCTACCATTATAATCTTTCTGGTTCGAAAATCAACGTTGTGAATGAGGTGAGAGTTATTGGTATAACTTTATCGTCCGACCTAAGCTTCAAACGTCATAAAGAAATTATTTGTGCCAAAGCCTTTAGAATTTTAGGATTTATTAAGCGAAACTGTTCTGATATGAGTTTTTCATGTCTAAAAATTGTTAATAATTTTTTAATTTGTTAATATTTTCTATATCATTTTTTAAAATTTTGAACTCTTGATATAATTTTCATATAACTATTTTTAAGTGACATTTTGGTATCAGTCTTGTACACTGAACATAAATACATTTATAAGACAATGATTGCTTTTAAACTAAATTTACATGAACTACCTATTGCTATCGTCGAGAAACAATGTAAAATACCCCCTTTAACTAATTGACGTAACTACAACGATTGCTTATTTTTATATAAGTTATTAAATTGTTAATAATTGTTATAGTTATTAATTGCCCAGAGGTCTTATATCTTATTGAAATTAGGGTCCATCCAGTAAACATTAGAAATAAAGCCCTATTTCATATTGCATCAGTGGAAAGTAATTTTGTTGCTCATAGTCCCATCATTACAATTTTACATTGCACTAATGAATACTTATCAAACTTTGATATTTTTTTACGACAATAGATGTAAGTTGAAAAAATTATTAGGTACCTATTAGCTTTTATTTTGTATATTATTTATATGTATTATGTATCTAATTGTACTCTTTGCCCTCGCGGGCGTTATGCAGGTGTCGTAGGTCATAAGAATTATAAAAGTTTTATTAAATAATAAATATCAGTCTTTATCTGAACAAAACTTACTGATTTTAACAATAATAAAAATTACGCGACAGATAGCCGTTGTTACTCTCGCCAAAGTCGTACGCTAGCTGATGTAGAAGAGATTTATTCCGCCGCCGGTGCGACGGCCTGCACCCGCCGGCGAAGGCCAGACCGGTTCGGTCGCGTCCTCGCGGACGTCGATAGAAACGCTGTGGTCGTTGTGATAACGACCACGACAGTTATCTATAAAAAAAAATAAAAAATAAAATAAATAAAAATATAATAAATTATCTTTATATATTATTAAAACGTGAGGAGATTTCTTGTGACGGTTATATCTGAAGTTCTACTGGACCGATTTTCATAATTTTTTTTTCCCCTAACGAAAGTACTCGGTGCGCAGATGAGCCGTCAAAAGAGAAAAGTCCAAAAAATGAATTAATTAAATAGTTATTAAAAGAATTAAGTTTACCGTATTGTTACATAGCGGCATTCGTTGACGACGCCGGATAACCCCACACTACTACGTCTACTGCAGAACTGTAGCTTTGTGATAGAAAAAATTAATAAAACTTTATTAATTAGAAACTTTAATTAGAAAATTTAAGAATATTTAACCATCATATAAAACTATTTCTAATCTAACCACAGCGCTTTGGACAATATAAACTTTTTAATGTAGCCTTTTAACGTTTGACATAGAATTAACAGGATGCATGCTGCAAATATCGTCAAAGATGATGTAAAAAAACTGAATATCGTTTAAAATAGATGTTTTGGTCGTAGTTATTATTATTATTATTTATTAGTTATGTATCTAATTAATATATCTATTAATATATCTATGTAGGATAACTGAATTTCTAAGTGAACGTTCAGTTAGTTCAGAGACATCGCATCTAATAGTTTAAGTTTCAAGTTCAATTTAATGTGGAGTTTTGGTAAGTTTGGATAGACTAACCATACTCTTTATTTGGACCTTTTCCGTTAATTCACTACCAATATTTTTTTCCGCCGCCTGTATAACCTCCACTATTCCTACGTCTGCCGCAGTACTGCAGGTCTGTAGATTTGTCATCGTCGGCGGCGATGTACATTTATTATATTTTACATTGTGGCATTATGCACTGTTTCGTTATCGCCGTCGTGTCATCTGTGTCATCATCTGAACCGTCGTCGAAAAAAACAACAAGAAAAATACTATTTTCAATTCACACATAGTCTTTTCATATTGTCTTTTCGCGTACAGCACTGAACAAATTACAAATTTTACTATATAAATTGTTTCGCTTTTGTTTAAAATGGAATATTAATTAATTCCCATAGTAGGCGATAGAAATTGTTTATTTCGTTTCGTGTCATATTTAATATTCGGCACGCAAGAAGAACATCGAAATATTCGATTAAGAGTTGTTAACTTGGTGATAAATAATTGGGATGTGTATAAGGAATTTGTTATAGGTGATCTTTCGTATAGATTACCTATTTATAATTATAATGATTACGAACATTTGATGAGCATAGATGGCGAGTATGCTGGTCACGTCGAACTTGAATGCATTAGATGACTTTATCTAAGTCATATATTTCGTGTGTATATATTTACTGATCTTAGTGCATTTGTAGATTATGGTTCAGGTGCAATAATGTGTAATTAATTTTTTTCTGGCCATGGTGACACAGGACATTGTAGTGTTTTAGTTTTTAGCAATAATATGAATATTCAAAATCTAACGAAAGAAATTAATGCTAACACTAATAGTAAGCGTATAACTCATTCTTTAACTGGTTGACGTGAAAAAAAAAAAAAAAAAACGTAAAGAAAACCAGAATCGGAAAGTATTATTTTATAAATGCGTTTTATCGCATAATATAGTTCAAGTTACTCCCTATAATTTGGGTAATTTTTAAATTTAAATGCGAGCATTGTCATTCGTTGCACTTTGAGTGTGAATAAACGACTAGAGAGTATTTTAGTTTATGTTGTGGTAATGGAAAAATATCTTTACTATAGTGCCGTTTGCTTAATGAAATATTTGATTTATTTTTCGGTGAAAATGATGAGTCTAAATATTTTAGAGAATATATACGTCAATATAATAGTGCGATGTAATTTGTCTCTTTTGGTTCTCACATAACATTTTCATTTTTATCATGAACCTAGAGAAGATATCCGTAGGTACGACCCAACAGTTTCTGAAATCGCAGCAGTATTTGAATCTTCAGATGGCGCACCTATTTCACATAGACATATATTAGTTTATCCAAAAAAAGGAGATTTACAAAGAATTGATTACAACAGTATGCACTATGACCCTATGTCATACACTTTGATATGGCCGCGTGGAAAACCAAGCTGGCATATAAATATGCAATAAAATGGTAAACTTAAAACTGCCATGATGCAATATTTCCATGCGTGAATATGTTTGTTTTCGAATGGCAAAAAAAGGTACTCCCCCGTGTGGTAATTTTAATCCAGTACTGAGCTCAGGCAAACTGACTCAACAACTGATAGTTGATTATTATTGTCGTATTGAAGGTGATAGATCGAAATATATTAGAAGTCAGCAATCAAAATTAAGAGAAGAAACATATTCTGGCTTAGCAGACGCTTTACGAGCAACGGCAAACGAAACCAATAGCATAGTAGGAAAATTGGTCGTATTGCCTTCTTCGTTTATTGGAAGTCCTCGAAATATGGTACAGAATTATCAACACGCCATGGCAATAGTAAAGGAATTCGGAAAACCAGATTTATTCATTACATTTACCTGTCATGCTTCGTGGCCAGAGGTTATTACAAGTATTCATTCATATGAAACTGCAAATGACAAACCCGATATTGTTGTTTGTGTATTTCATGCAAAAATTCAACACTTATTAAAAATAATAAAAACAAAAAAAATATTTTGTGATATAAAAATTTACATCATTGTGATGAAATGAATAATTCAACTGTCAATATGTTGCCAGGGCCAGAAGAAACGTATAAATACAGTATCAAAAGAATGTGACGATTTTTGTTTCCTACAGAATTTTTAGATAGTTTACATTTAAGCGATTTACCTCCACACAGTTTGGTACTAAAGAAAGGTACTATTGTAATACTCTTGAGAAATTTAAATGTCATCTACAATCTAATGAATGGTACAAGATTAATTGTACGAAATATGTATGATCATTCTTTAGACTTGGAATCTATAACTGGTAAAGGAACTGGTCAGCGTATTTTATTGCCTAGAATTGATTTGACCCCGTCAGATTCAACTCTTCTCTATTTATTTACCAGACATCAATTTCCGATAAGAATAGCTTTTGCTATTTTGTATTGCTTGCTAGATTGTATTTACCCCATTCTGTATTTAGTCATGGTCAACTTTATGCTACCATGTCCAGAGTTAGATTTTTTGAAAAGTTAAAAATATAAATAATACCAAACAACAAAAAAGATACAATGAATATAGTTTATAAAGAAATTCTACAGTAATAATAGAAATAGACAAATTCTTTGAACTTCATTTGTTTATCAATTTTTTTGTATATTTTTTTATACCTTTTATAGTATTTATAAATGTAATTAAAGCTTAATAAATTAAATTATTTTCCATTTTATGTTTTTCCTATACGTCAATTGCACATTATTCTAACGATGTATACATGATACATCCTTTATATTTATTTATTATATACAGTTATTATATAATAGTTATTCAACTATTTGATTTTTTTTTTTTACCGTAACCCGGCAGCGACGGGTAATTCAGCTAGATATCTAATTGATTTTTGTGAATACAATATACCTTTAATATTAACGAATGAATTAATATAATAAATACTAAAAAGTAATTTATAAAACTTCTATAATGAATTCCACTTAAGAAATGTATGCACTAGATGGTTAGTAAAAATTGCATAATACTAAAATATAAAATAATATACAAAAATTAAAAAGTGTCAATGCCTGCTTTATAATTTTAAAAATATTAGGTTTATTTTCAGAAATTTAATTACAACACATGATGGAACTGATTTATAATATACAAATAATAATAATAATAATAATATTGATAATATAAATATAATAATTAGTATATTATCAGGAAAATGCAGTGAATAAAATTAACTAATAAAATTATGATAAAAAAACATTTATACTATTTGACGCTAAATACGAATTTACTTACTACTTATTTAAAATAAAATATATTAATTGCAAATTATTTAATAACTACGTCAAAATAAGATTTTAAGTTAGAATTATTAAAATGTTTTGATCTCAAAAAAATTTAAAAAATTATTACTTAATAAATATAAGACAAAAACAAAATTCTTTGTAATCAAAAATTTCGTTAAATTAAATTTTACAATTTTATGAGTGAAATACATGATCGAATGGAACTAATAAAAACAATTTAAATAAGAATGCATTCAACAAAATACTCAAAAAATATTTATGTTCTAAACGTAATCTTTTGTTAAGTAATTTAAAGCCTAAAAAAAATAAAGTAAAAATCAGGTAATTCCGAAGTCGATTGAACATAAAAATTAAATTTATGTTAAATATTAAGCAGGTTGAAAATATTTTGAATTTAATGTGATTATAAGTATGAATGTACCTATTCGAATTTTACACTATAGAGTTTCATTAAACATTGTAATTTGATTAACTTGGAGTTTGATGAAAGCTTGATTCTCAGAAATTCGCGAGTTATATTTCAAATATACATATACATAAATTGGTGTACCTAATTAATAAGTTTATAAAGAGACAGGATTACATTATGTTTTTCGAGCAGTCAATTTAATAATTTTTCCATTATAAAGACTTTTTTATAGTATAATATGTAGACTATTATATATTGTTCATTACCAACAAAACAGTTTCCATTTGGTATTGAATAATTCAAAGTATTTTTCTAATAGCTAGTATACTTACAAATTTGATTTGAGTGACTTCCAAATCCAAGGTTCGAAATCATGGTAATTATTGTATTATTGATAGGTAACTATTATTTTTTCCGTCTCGAAATTTCAAAACTGTATAATCAATAAAATTACTATTATTATACAATAGTATAGAATAGGGTGATTATTGATCGTTATGAGCAGGGCAATTTTTTTTTATATAATTTTGTATTTTTAATGCATTTTTAAACGCTTATATGAATATTTTTAAGAGTATATTATAGCACTTTTTAACTACTTTTTTTATAGCTATAAGTTATGAGCCCTGATTATGAGAGATCAAATATGCTTCCCCTATCAGATTTTTTTTTTTTTTTTTGAAACTCAAATATTCTATATTTATAATAAACAGTTTTTTTTTTATCTTAAACATATTGTAAGTCGAAAAAAAATATTAAGAAATAGAAATGTACCAATTTAAAATCAATTATCGTACATAATCGTCTTACTTGAATCAATTGATTTTATCTAAGTTTTTCTATGGTTAAAACCTTATATGTATAGTATTTAATAACTGTATTGTTGTTTGTGCACACATATAAACTTTTCGCTTACATTTAAGGTTAAATTTTAGGTTATAGAGATTTGGTGAGAAGCAGTTTACCAAAAGTCATCAAATGAAGATCATTACAGGAAAATACTTTTTTCCCAGCTTTCATTACGTTTTATAATTAATAAATTGAGAATATAATATAAGTATATATACAATTGAGTTTGAAGTTAATCGAATACAGTAAATTACACAACACGTAATTCAACTAAATATTATAGTCACAATAATATTAGTTTGCAATAACAATTCGGAATTTTAATAGTTCGAATTGGTTTCCGAAATAGTGTGTTAAACATGATGAGGATGGGTTTGTAAATGTTTTTTAAACAACCAATGACTGATATTACTATAAATTGCGATATTACCTAATACTTTTTACCATAGTTAAACCAGTTACCATATTTAAAAAAGTTTCGAAAAATATTGTTAGGCTCAATTTCTAAAAAATATCTTATATAGTGAAATACAATTCTAGTAATAAAATAATAACCAGATATTCAAAATAAAAATTATCAATTCTTGATAAATGTATCAGTGAAGATTTGCATGTATACAAGTTTTCGATATTTCTTAGAAAATGTTAAGAGAAATAAAGTAAAACCATTAAGTAGAATACATTATTCGGGTTTGTTTAGTGAACCACGGGTTGATAACCATATAAAATATTTTTTTTTTTTATATTTGAAAAAATATGTTTTTAGTGAGAAAAAAACTGTGCGGTTAATATTTTTGAATTCACCATTAACTATCTCAAACAGGTTCAACGCACCCAATATTTAATACAAATAATTATTTATTATGAAAGAATATTAAATAATAAAATTTGTTTAATTTCCATGAGGGGGCTATCATAAATTTTTTCTCTGCACCACCCTGATTTTTCCTTCTAAAAATTAAATCTTAGAAATTGATTGTTTTTAATAAAACGATTATGATTTTAGCAAATTAATTTTTAAAGAAAATCGTGAATTTCTTTTATCTTATGGACATCATTAAATATAAAACTGAAGTCGACTATGATTATTAATGAAATATAACAAAACATACTATTGTAAATAAAAAGTTATAAGCATATTTTTAAATATTACTTTTTTTTCTTCTTTTTTTATTATGAACACACTTAATAAATCTTTAAGTATATTTTCACGAAAATCGTTAACTCAGTTTTGATAATGAATTTTAAATTTACTACGAACATTTCTATTTTATAATTTATCATTGTAATATCACGCTGAATATTTTCCTTCCTTACTTTATTCATCTAATTTAAATAAAAAATATGTCGTCCTATTATTGTATTCAGAGGCGTACGCAGAAGGAGGGCTAACGAGCTGACCCCCCCCCCATTGCCATATTTTTATTATTATATTTTTACCCTCTATTTAAGATAGCATTTTAAAATCACGATTATAATTATGTAGACTATTATAATTATAATAATGTGTTTCAAATTGTAGTTATGAATTTACCTAATTATTACAATTTACAATTTATCCATAAATATCTATGATTAAAACTGAACTGATATTACCAACAATCAAAACATCGTTAGGTTAATTCTTCAGCTACACTAGAGAGAAAATTTTCAACATTAAAACGTATTTAAAATCAATAATAATGGACAAAAGTTTTAAGAAAATATACTATCAAATAAATATAAATTATATTCGCAAATAATAACAAAAAAGAAAAACTTACCGAGTTCGAAGTTCTACAACAATTTTCAAAAACCTCAACTAAGCTTAAACAACTATAAGGCTGGACAAAATTTAAATGTATTTTATCGTCATTATTTTTATACTTACGAGTATATTAGTTTATTTTCATATACTTTTTTTTATAATTTATGCTTGATAAAAGTTAGAACTAAGAAAGCACCTTCTTTAATTTTCTTACTTAATCTTGTGACAACTTAGTAGTTATTTTTTTTTTAGCCCCTCCCCCCTTTGAAAAATCCTGCGTTCTCTACTGATTGTACTATATTTGTAAACATTTAGAATGTAGATAGTTAACAGTTAATTGAAATGATAATATAAAAAAATATTACTATTTCTATGTAATCATATCGTACTCGTAAAATATTCCTTGAAATAAACTAATAGTTATCTTACACACATCAATAGGAACAAAACATTTATATTATTATTTTAATTTATTGAAAATTACAGTTTTTCTTCTGAACAGATCAAGACTCAAACTCTAACTACTACTAATTTAATCAGTTATTTACAAATCACAAATACTATTACGACTATAGTTACACTTATTAATTTAAAAAGATAACTTTCTTTTGTCTCATGGATTTTGCTTGCATTTTGTGAATAATACATATATGTTTTACAGTATTTTTTTTTTCTTCATTTACGATCCTTACTGAAGGAATTGATGGTTTATCATAGGTTATTACGTACTGTAGAACAATGGTTTCAACATTAAATTCTCAGGTGGTCACACATACAGAAACTAGTACGACCGGACGTAGCTTAACCGCAGCGCCGAAAACAACTGCGACTAATCCCTGTGACACACCATGCCCACTTTTTTACAGGTTTTTCAGAATACAAAACAAAATCAAACGGACGATTGAGTTATTTTAATGATTTTAAGTGGAATAAATAATAGAATACGTAAATACAATGTGAAAAAAGTAAGGATTTTCAGTCACGCTAGTATTATTTTTTGGGTTTTTTCAATGGGAATTTTAAATATTTTTTTCCGTTTCTTAGCATTTCCAATTTTGATTTTTAATATTAATTTTTTTTTTTACTATGTATCTAGTAGTACTAAGCGCTTATATTATAATTTTACCCTTTTTAAATAATAAAAAAACTTAAATACATGCCAAAACGGTACTACTTTGTTATTGAATTGATACTTAATTTTAAGTTTTTATTTTCGTACATCATATGTAATACATTATAATATAACCATATTGTAATACAGGCCACATTCTCTCCTCCAATATTGATATTAACACCGAAGTATTATTTTGGATGTGGGACATGTTATAAATATATAAAATCATAAGATCATTATATAAAACCATAGGTTAGGTTAAGGTTAGTAATAAGAAAAATTATCGTTCTGTTAAAATTGTTATGATCTCATTAAAAGAACGTTCCAGTTGCAAGCGTATCCAGTCATAAATATAATAAATACGCCATATAATTTTATGGACAAATTTCTGATTGTGTTTTAATTTAATTTTAATTTCAGGGATAAAATGATGCGTTTTAGGGTCCAATTTCCTTAAGCTTCACGACAATTAGGATTTGATGTAACATTATTAAACACCAATTCTTATTTATACGATTTAAGATTACTCTTAAATATATCAATACGGTTCTCGTGGTAGGCTAATACTAAGAAAACTGATTAAATCTGATTAACTTTTTTTTTTTTTAATATAATAATAAATAATTAATATGTAGGTAATATTTCAACCTTTTTTAAACATTATGGTTTAAACTTTCTGAGCGCAGTACTTTTGGCTCGTCCTTCAATCAATAACATAGATAGTATTATTTAATTAATTATTATCGTCCTTTACCACGTGTTAATGGATTAATTTTCCCGTGAAATTTGAACCTGTTAATATACCAAATGTTTAATGGTCAAACACACATTTCTCATCGTTAGTAATATTATTTTGCTCTCAACAATATAGTGTCAGTATACACGGTTGGTTGCCAATGAAATACGTAAAATAATTATATAATACTTCTACAAACCGAAAATCATGTGATTGAATATTTATGCGAAGTTACGAAAAAACTTCGACGAAAATATCTAATTGTGTGTTCTAATCAATTGTGCCTAACAGTACGATATGTGTTTAGAAGATTATTTACTTATTTTTTTTTTTTAGTCTTACTGGAGTAGTAGACTTTATATCAACTATGTCGAAAATCGCAGGTAAAAAAAGAAAAATTATGGGATAGAAAAAAGGTATACATCTATTGCGCCGATCGATATTCGAGTTCATACATTTTGCGATTACCTCATTGATACATATATTGATGAAAATGCAACTTTTCCACCGTATCTTTGGTCATCGTGTAATATATCTGGCGAAAGAACAACAAATGCTTGTGAGGCATTTCATTCAGCGTTTGAGAAATATTTTTACCAACCCCATCCAAATATTTTTGTTTTTTATGAAGTTTTAAAAATAATGTAACACAACAATCATAATACGTGTTTTCTTAGTTATCATAAACAGACCAAAATTATGACAAAAAAATAAATAGTAAAATAGAAATAACTAATTTTAATATTAGACCTAAATTTTTTCAAAATTATAGGATAAGTGTGAATATATTTTATAAAATCATAGATTAAATATACATATTTATGTATATTTAATCTATGTTACAATATACCATTAATCTAAATACCAAGTATGTAGAATGATAAATTTGATTTTAATTTTAATTTTTGTTCTTAGCCATTATGATTTTTACTTGTACTGTATAGTTGTTATACCGGTGCAATAGATGTATACTTTTTAAATATACCCTTTTTATACTGTCGCAATAGATGTATACCTTTTTAATATACCCTTTTTTATACCGGAACAATAGATGTATACTATAGAGGTAGTGTCTTAAATTCGGCACAATTGACGAATACCGGAGTAGTAATAGTAGTCACACAAACCTGTTTTTTGTTCCTCCCACCTATTATTCTTTTCTGATAAGGCTTTCTGGTCACCCTTGGCTTTTGTTGCTATACACTACAAACGCGCTTTCTTACAGTCGTACGGACTCAGAACCAACAATGCGTGTACGCGTTTCATTCGTACCCGGAAAATTAAAATATTTACACTTACTACTTTATACCGTTGAGCTCATTGAAAAACGATAATATACAATGCCGATTGCGGAACAAAAGGTGAAATAATTTTTTCGTAATATCATATATTTTACGCTACAAAATTCGGATGTTTTTGACCAATCATGGTTTGGCAGGCGATTCGTTTGAAAGTTGTTGAAAACTCGAGAGTTATTTGATTTAATGAAAACCGCGTGTTTCAAATACAATACAAAAATAAGTTATTGTTTATTGTATACAATTTAAAAATAACATTATTTCTAAGTGAGTCAGTCGATTTTGATGTTCGTCATAACATATTCCATCGATTAATCCAACCAACTGAACAGTATTGAAATAAAGACAGTTAAAAAGGAATATTTTTAATGTTGTATCGGATAAAATCAAACTTTATGGATTCGCTTACAAAGTTGAACAAATAATAATCTTATCTAAAACCAAAATCTAATAAAGTTTTGTACTACAAATACAAATAAATAAACATTATAAATTATAATAAACATAATTTAACAATTTAAAAAAAAAAAAAACAACATAGCACACGCATAAAATTGATTTAAAACAGATTATTTGATGTTTGAGTAATAATTGCCTCCTAATGCATAGTCAAACAACAAACAAATAATTCACTAAATGAAATAAATACTCTAAAGTTACATTCGAATAATAACTAAAATTATATAATTTCGGCTTATTAATAAATTTTATAATAACTATCCATTAATTGTAATCTATATAAAAGGTAACTTATAATGTATGACGAATAAAACTATAATATATTTTTTTAGAAAATAATAAATTAACAGAACCAAAATTGAACAAAAATTGAAAAAAAAATAATGAAGAATTATTGTTTTACAAGAAAACTAATAAATACTATTTAATCGATTTATAAAATAGTTACAGCCTTTTCATTGAATTTGGGATGTTTAAATTTTATTTTATTTTTAGCTTTTCGCCGTTTACGATTATTTGGAGATTACAAAACACTATTATCTTATAATTCAAAAAGTGAGATTAGTCGATTTCCCATTGTATTATTATCTAATAATCTTATTTTATAAAAGTGATGTAAACTGTGAGCTTCACACATTAAAAAATACGATACATTTAACAAAAGAAAAATAAATTGATGCATCAAAAGTAATTGACTTTCAAATACGAAAAAAATGTTTTACCTAAAATAACAAATTTCCTATCAACAATAAAATACACAAATACAATATGGTCGTTTATAAAAATACATCTAAATAAAAACATATAAAAATTTTCATTTCAGTTTTATGGTTTCTTAAAGTTCTACAAAACTTGTGTGTGATGCTACCTTTTTTTTATTTATCTAAAATGAATTAATAAAGCACCAGTGTAGGTAACAATATAATAAAAATTTGTCATGTTCGACATAAGCAAAAAATATCGAAAAACGTATAGTAGTTATTTTATAGGTATTCTCTTTGTAACAATATTAAAAGTGGAAAAATATAAAATTAAACCCTTTTAAAATCGGTCAATAATTGTGTAATAAAAACTAAACAGATCTCTCCAAGGTTATGTTTGTGGAATGAGACATCTCAGGCCAGTGTTAATGTTCTTCATTGTGATGTATCTAGAAAAAATAATACAAAACATTAAACGTGGTTCTTATTAGAAAATATTTTTTTTTTTTTTACACAAGCAATGCTTTCAGTTCTAGGTAAATATTTTTTGAGTAAATTTTTTTGTATCAAAATCATGAACGTAGAGTTCATTAAAAACTATAAAGTGTACAACAAAAATGCAAAATAAAATGTTCTTAATTATAGTTTTTTTGTTGATAACCACTGAATTCGGGTGGAGGCAATTAACTTTTCCGGACGTAAGGTTAACCATTTCCGTTTCAAATCAAACTCACTAGAAAGTTATGAGTAAGTTCACTCGGATTTCCATCATGTTTACTTGAATGTCATAAATGAACTCTCTCGGGTCTTTATAAGGTTTTCATAGGCATTATTTAACGGAAATTAATTTTGTGTAATTTTGTTTACTACCAAAAAAGGTACATGGCCCGTAGTCAGATCCTAGTTATGTCAATCGTATAAACGACGGAGAAAAATGTAAAGAAAACCAAAGTAATAATATTATTGTTTGTACTTTGTTATTATTTCGTTCCACTAGATCGCAATATTAATTTTATACATATGCCATTAATACTTTTATGCAAATGGATAATTTTTACTAAACCTATTTATAATTATTGTTTATTGTATCGTTTTAAATATGCATTATAAAAACATATAAAAAAAACCCCCAGTGTTTTGCATTATCGCGTTGAATAAAATTTCTCTTAAAATAAGTACAACACATGTTGATATTGTAATTGTCCGTTACCTAAAGCAGTTTTAAGTGTAAATGTTAACCTAACAATTTCTATTTTTAACTGTTTTGTTTTACATATATATTAAATTAATAATGACTACTTAGTCTTAAATTATTGTTATTACACTCGTTATGCGCATTATTAGTTGCATATATATATTTGATTCTAATATCCGATAACTATCAAAACAAATCTACCATACTACTATGTGAGTTGTGTTCTATTAAAATAATTTCTAACTAAGGGATTGATAACAAGCTAACATAAGTGATAACCAATATAAATTGAAAAATAAAATTATTCCTGTGAAGAAATGAAAACATTAGTTTGTAGCTCTGCTTTTTCTATATTTCAACTATATATTATTCATGTGCCACAAGTTGAATTGCAGCAGAAATGGCTTAATCCATTGAAATTTGAAGAATTAAATTTTTTTTTTTCAAAATAAAGGAGTACAACTCGCTGGGTCTACTGCATAAATATCAATGAAGAATATGTAAAATTTACGTTTGTTTTCATGTTGAAAATTTTGAAATAAACTTTATAATAACTAAAAACTGCAATCTACAGCTGTTAGACGTTTGTTAATTTAGGTGACTCTTTAAACATGAAATAATGTCTGCAACCATGACATTAGTTTGTAATAAATGAGAAAAATAAACGTAAGAAACTTAAACTTCTGTAATGATATTAAACATTTTATTTTAAATAATATTTTATGCTTGTTAAATTGTGTTCAACCTAAGTAAATGTTATCTACGATTTAGTTAAACAAATAGATTTGTCGAAGTTAATGAACTTAAATTCAGTCTGCATGACCTATTTACCGTTATATGAATAATTATTAGTTATTATAATATTTAGATAAACCGTTATAATTTATAATATAATACCTACATTTTGTATAAGAAAGTTTAATAATTATTAGTTATTATCTTAAAATAAAATGTATAATAAAATGTTTCTCGATTATAAAACCTATTGTATATAGTGTTATTATTTATTAAAGCTCGTCTACTTCACTTTATTGTTTGCAGATCATCATTTCAATGGATAAAATGTCATATGATTACAAAACCAAAAATTTAACTAAATCAACATCTATAAAGTTATAAAACAAATTTTATACATAGCATATGTGATACGGATGTTCTAATTTATGAAATTACTTTTACTTTAGTACTTGATAAGCAAGTAAAATTCTTATTATAATTTAAAATTTATTAATTTCATTCAATTGAGGTGTACAATAATTATTCTATAAATGTATTGCTATCGTAATCTATTGACCAATCAAAGCATAGATCAGAAATTCGGGATTTGTAATTATTTAACTACATGTACTTACTACTTACACATTCGTATAGCACATAACTTTTATTTTTCATCACGAATATTAAACTGTATACTCATATCCGGTTGTATTGGAATAACTGTAAATTATTTAGATCAAGATTGCTTAAAAACAATCGGGCTTTAAGATAAAACGGTATTGTTTTTAATTATTTTTTTTTTCATCTCTGTACACATATTTGTGTACAGAAATAACAATTTAATCACTAATCCATAGTCCGAAGTCCAAAGTTAGTTATTTTACTTTTACAACATCAATTACGAATTCGTACTTTCCACTGAACGTTAAATTGAAATATTTATAAATCAATACAAATGTAGTCCAATTTATCTGCGCGATGCTTACACGTATTGCTTAAACGGTCGTTTCGGTTTTGTCGGTTATGGGTGTCAGCTGACTCAGCTCTTCCTCGCTGACCTGTAATTGGTGATCGTCCTGAAAGTTAATACTGCCCGCTTTGTACCAGACAATTATGTCCACGAAAAATGCGCACATCATCAGCAATCCAGTAACACCTGTGAACGCAAACGACAATGGGTTATTCGTTAAATACAGTTAAATTCAACTAATACATTTTCAGTCGTTTTAAATAACCATCTTAAAACATCACACGTACATACACCCGTAGTCGAAATACCCGTGTACCCGTTTATTTAGTCAATCGGAAGTGTAACGTTAAGCAACACTATTCTTTTCACGTAATCATTTAACAGTTGGCTATAAATTATAAATGATCACGTACGTAGAAACGACTAGCTGATGAGCATGGATCGACACAGGCCGTTCATTGAAAATCGGATATAGTTACTTACTAAAAGTATGTACATTTTGGTATTTTTTATTATTATTTTAAATAAAGAAATAATTCCGTGGGTTCTCTATTAATCTGTTTATCATAGTTGCTTGATTTTTATTCCCGTACGTGTCTAAGTCTGTGTTTTTTTTTTATGTATTAAAGTATTTGTTTATTTAGAGATGTATTCATAGAGTAATGGATCTGAACTTATCAGGAGAGATTTTTTTGAGAAATTATTAATAATAAAATTATTTATTGAACGCAAACAACAAATACAAATAAAAGTAATTTAAATAGGTACAACATGAAATACATAATGTACAATTTTTTAACCAGGCAATTGTTTAATATTACTTATATATTATGTACATTTATTCATATAGGTCAATACTACTATAATATAAAAATATTAAAAAATTATAAATTATTTGATTAAAGATCATAAACAATAGAATAATATAATAACGAGTGGCGGCTCGCGTATATGTGCATAAGTGAACGTGCAATACCTACCCAAACTCAAAAAAAAATTGAAAACATAAACCATTATAAAACATCTAAATACCTGTAGGCTATTAAGATTATTTTTCAAAATATAAAAATATAAATTCAGAATATTATGAAAATAATATAATATTTAGATTGGATTATTCCGAAAGCCAAACGAGCAGGCGGTTGTTTGCGACGGAACGGTATCGGTGTGTGTGTGTTATAGTGGTGCACAGGGGCGGTTCCAGGGAGAGGGCCCTAGGGGCCACGGCCCCCTTCTAGCCCGTACCGAATTTATAAAAAAAATTTATATTGTTAACAAACTATCATACGACACACACAAGTATGTAGATAGAGTCATAGAGGTATGACGGATGAAAGGAGTTTCTCCACACTCCGGAGACTAAAAATCTGGCTTCGTTCAAGGATGACTGAAGATAGACTATCAGCATTATGTCTAATTATTGTACATCATAAAGTGGATATTCTAGTTCAAATAGATCATTTTATTGATATTTTTGCCAATATTAAAAATAGACGACTTGAATTTGTGTTGTAAAAATTGTTCTTCTTATTTTGTTATAAAATGTTGTAAAATTATAACTTGGCCCCCTCCCCTAATCAAGGCTCTGGAGCCGCCCCTGGTGGTGCAGTAGTGCACACTATTGCTGTGCACATTTGTACAATGTAAAAATTAAAACAAGTCGAAACACGCAACATCCGTTATAATGGAATTGATGTGCATATTCGTTTCTAAGCACATAACCAGGGCCGACCCAAGCAAAAATAGTGCACTAGACAAAATCAAATTTTGCTGCCTCTAAAAAAAAAATTCAATTCTTATTTTAACTTAGCCCCTCCCCCTATTTTTATGTGACATATATACATAAAAAAAAAATTTATTTATGGATAAAATTATATGTAAAAAGACTTAAAAATGATTTCTAATACTATAACTCAAAACCCATCACTATCGCGACTATCGGATATCGCGGAAGTGATGTGTGATTATTTATATTTTTTGAATAATTGAAAACATTCAGCGTAGGCCGTAATATAAAGTAATTTAATAACTTTAGACAATATTATTTTATTGTAAGTGGTTTTCATAAATGAATTAATTTAAATATTTTTCTTATAAAACACCAATAGAACTAAAAAAATGTTCGAGTCAATTTTGAAAATGCCACCCCTACTAAAGTGTCGCTCTAGGCAGGTGCCTGCTCGCCTATACTTTGAGCCGGCCCTTCACATAATCAATCAAATTGTTTTCAGCGAATTATTTTCGACGTCGCCGCGCCATTATGGGTCACTATCAGCGTTATGATTTATTTTTACTCTCAATGTTTATTAAATTCCGATTATCGGCTGATAATGTTAGTCATTATCTTAAATTCAAAACAAAAATCGTGTTTCTGTTTACTATCGACCACCAACGTAAAAAAAAAAAAAAAACAAAAAACGTTTAACGTGTGTATATAATATTGGTTATATTTTTTTTTGATGTGCTCTACTTCATTAAAAACCTACGAGCCACCACTGATAATAACAAAATAACAATAATGATAATTAAAGTAATCATATTCTATTATGTATTATCTATATCATCTAAGTTATTCTTTATCAGTTACAATTTAAATTTGTATTTTATATTTGTTACATAACCTCAAAATATACCCTGTGCTAGAAAGAGAACCTTCCTAAGAATAACTTTTCTCTTCTTCAAAAAAGACTGCGACTCCATGTAAAGTTAATGTAGGCAAGTGTTATCCATTATTTTATTATCTATGGATGTATTATAAGAATCAAGGTTAAAATGGGTACAGGAATATTTTTTGAGATATTTAATAGACAAATGATTGTCTAAGAGATAAACTTAATTTATCAATTGCGATAAACCATTTAAACGTGTTTAATATCCGATTTTATGGGACTATAGCTTATTCAACAAAGTTTATGTATCATCAAAAATAAGAGCATAGAAGTTGGATGATAGGTATTTCTAAGCAATCAATAGTGTACCGGTAATAATTACGGAATAATAATTCTCAAATAAATTACTGTTTTAAACATACAGTTAGAAAAGTTGGTGGTATAACGGAAAAAATGACAGTGAGAGAGTGAGTGAGAGAGTGAAATTCAAACATTTTCCGAATCTCTCACGTCGGTGGTTTATTGGTAGTAAAATATCACCTTATCGAGTAAAATATTATCATTACATATTAATAGAGTTACGATGTTGATGACTTTCGCATTTTTTTCCTTTGATTCTATAAAATGCTATCCTAGCTAAAAAATTGTTTCATACTCCCTAGATGCAGAATATTCTAATTTTATTTTTAGGCATTTTTAGCTATAAATGCACTTTTTTGTTTTTTAACGTCATTTTTTCATCTCTCAGGTTATTTTTTGTAGTTTTTTTACAATGTGGAGCATTTTTCTCAAATTTTAGATTTTAGAACAAGTGTTAAACCCAAATTTGGAAACAAATTTTAATTTATTGTTGTGATTAAATTTATCGCGTTCCAATAAGATTTACTATTTGAGACTTTGAGTGTTATATTTTGATATGTATTAATATTGAAATATAAATATATAGGTACTATTGTTCATTAATATTATAATTTATAATTCATATTTTAAATGACTATTACACCCATTATCACACCCATATCTATAATAAAAATTATCATTTATAAATACATTTTTTTCACTTACTTAATTAGTTTTTTAGATAAATTATTTTAAAGTATTTTTTTAAATTTTTTAAGGCATTTTTGCATTTTTGTGTGTTTTTAGGTCATCAACATCCTAACTCTACATATTAATGTCGTACACCCGATGGCCGTACACCGATACGGACGAACGTGATAATGAAACAAACAAAATGGTTCATCCGAAAATCGATGCTACGACGACGACAATGGATCATCGTTATAATAATAATAATAATAATAATGTGCTGATTGAATAATATTCTCGTCGGGCATAACATTACCGTGGTAGAAAATACGGAACGAGTCAGAGTTGTACAGAGAGCATGCTCCTTGTTTTCCGCACGTCATTTCCCATACGAGACACGCCGAGTCGACGACCGCTCCGTACAATATGGGGCAAGGCACATTACCTGCGCGACAATAGATAATGATAATTGTAATAATAATAACAATAAAAATAATAATAATAATAATAATTAGAATACGATAACGACACCATCCAACGTAGCGAGGTCGGGTGACAATTCACCAAAGGCGAAAGTCGAAAACAGCGACGACTACGTGTACACTGTTGGTGGAAGACTGTACGAGTATATAATATTGTTAATTCCGTCCGCGTCCGCACTTACCGAATAGACCTATGGCGAACTGTATGAGCCCGAGAGCCATGGCCTTGTCCTGGGGGTGGACGCACCGGAGGATGAGTAACATGCTGCCCACCTCGGACGTGGAATGGATGAACACGAACAGCGAGAAAAGAGCTATGTACCAGAAGCCCGAGTCCTCGCAGTCGTCCTTGCACGGGCCCGAATACGCGTCCGTGGCGTTTCCGTTCATGCACTGGCAGTCCGTGAACTGAAATCAGAACACGCGCGTCCAGTTACGTATCACGGAGAAGAGCGCGGCATCGCTGCGAAACTACGTTGGTTTAGGTTCATCTCGTTTGTTGGATGCTTTCAAAGTTTGAATTTTTACGCGATGAAAAAAAAAAAATAATAAAAAATGTAGTAGAAAAGCGTATGAAATGATGCAAAGAGGAAACGCTTTCAAAACGCATTTGGATCCTTTGAACAACGGTCGAGTACACCGTTGTACGTCTGAAAACGATTCCGGAACGTGTACACGATCAAAAAAAGCTGAACGTATTCGTTCGATCGAAGTTTGTTCGGACAAGGCAACAAATTAATAAAATAACGGGTGTGTATTGATAGGCTTTTTGCGTGCATCGAAACGGCTGTACATAATTTTCGTAATAACACGCACCTTATATCCGGCTGTGTACTCTTTGCCGGCCGTCTGGTTCCGGCATCCCGCGTGACATGCCGAGAAGTACGTGACGCCGTCCGAGCCGCAGATCGGGCTGAATATCTCCTGGTCGCAAACGCAACGGTCCGAGCATTGAGATTCAAATATTGGCTGGTTCCTGCGGAATCGTGTAATAATGTTTGATTGCACATCACGTTCGGCGAACAAATCGCGTCCGAAGCAAAACGAATAACACCGAAATTCGTCAGGGTAAAATTATCGCTACCTGCGCTCTATGCGTTATGACATTGTGTTCGAGACGGTTTCAAGTTTTTTTCTTGGAAAGAACGTCAACTATTAGGAAAATATTGCGTGGCTCGTGTTAACACTCGTGAAAACACTTCTTTTCCCGGCCCAAAAATAAAAATTTGCTTCCGTCAGAGCACGGGTTGATAATTCGTGTTCTAAGGGAAGCGATTTCGAGTGGCTCGCGAGGTGTTTAATGTTTAACGCTCGTTTTCTTATTAATAATATATTTGACACGTAAATCGAAACTGTTAATACAATTTAACGTTTCAATAATACTTTTTTGAATAATATGATCAATTTTGTTTAAATTCAACATTAAAACTCGTTAACTTATTCTCCTACTTACATGTCAAACAATACTGAGGTAATACTGATATCGAAGGTTAAAATCTATTGTTATCATTGATCTCGAACTTGCGATTTTAGAAACAAAGCACATCCTTTATTTTTAAACTTTGGTTATTTATTGAGTGATAATTTTTCATAGGTCTAAAACCGGTAAACGTGTAAATAAACGCTCCACATGGGCTGCTGTATACAAATTCAAAACCAATTAACCAACACTGAATAGAACTGAAAGGGTGTGTTGCGATTTAATAGTAAAAAAACATCCATGTTCTTACAACACCGTCATTTCCTAGACTTTTCTATAACCAAAAGCTTACTAATTCCCCCAGTCATATTCCACACACGAGCCACTATTAAACGACCATTTGCCTTTTTGATCCAGTACATGACTCACACTTTAAAACTAGTGACTTAGTAGGAATATCTTTAAAAATTATGACCTTTTGCCTTTGTATTGTACATTAAGGATTTTTTTACCTTTCACTGCACCACTAGTGATAGTCGAAACTGCGCTGTAGGTAAAGGTACATAATATCTGATATTTTACCCTAGCTTAGTGTTAATTTCAACCAATAATCGGCATACTTAAAACACATAAGAAGTCTTATTTTTAAGGCTTATTGCCAAAGTTTAATTTGTATTTAATATATTTTCTTTAAGTACCGATTAAAAGTAATTAGCATTAATTTACACATTACTCAATTGTCCAATTCGACTTGAATAATTTTTCAAGGTTTTAGCACCTCCATTGCATTGGCGCCTCGCCCTTGTTACGGATCTGAACGCGAGTGTATTGCGCTTTGATAACGTTATTTTTTCTTAATAATATATCACTCACCGTTCGTCATATCGCAGTCCCGAGATGTTCGTGGTCGGACATCCTACGAACGTTAGTATGCACATGCCTGAAAACAAAATGTACCGTCATCACCACTGTACCCGATAATATTAAACTTCAGACAATTGTCATCCTTTGCTGTATACATGACAGTATATTGAGTATAAGTAATAAAATACGATTTATATTGTACCTTTAATGTACAATTGATCTAAGTAATTCAGTAAATGTATGCAATGGTCGACTTGGAAAAATTAAAGAAAGGGGACTCTGGTTATTTAAAAAAGAGGAGCGTCCCCAAAACTTGTTAAACATTATGATTATAACGTCATAATAGTTGGGGAACGCTAAGATTTCTGAAAATTAGTTGGGGTACGCCGTCCCCTTGCGTCCTCTCCCAAGTCAAACATTGAATGTATATATAATTTGAAACCTTTGAAAGTTTATAATGATTAGTAACTAAAATTAAAATTAAAAAAAAAACTATGTTTTACCTATGGCGTATGCGAGAGCCGTGAACGCGATCCAAGCGGCGACTGCTCTTGCGTTTGGATTTTTCTTTAAAATGAATATGCCGGATATTATGATTCCGATGCCCATTACCATGATCCCGTAGATCCCTGTAATCACGAGTTAAGCAATGTATATGCCCGATATGCAATACGATGAACATCACGAATCGCTCATCGATCGTCAGATTAAACTCAAATAAAATTACGATTGTTTTACCGTGCGACTGACATGCACACATCTCTGTTTTGTTTATTTATTATATATTTTTAATTTAGTATATTTTATTTTTTATTTCGACGGGAAAAAAAATGAAAATCAAAGGCTATAATGGCTTGGTAACGATTTAACATCAGACAGTTTTAGTATTCGTGACCAACCGACGGATAGGGAGATACGTCCAGTCATCGGTGTCCACACGAACGGTAAATGCAAGTGTATTATAGTTCTGTAGTTGTGAAATTTGATTTCGGTTATATGCACGTCAGGACAGCGATTTTATTATAATACAACGATTTCGAATTTGTGCTCGAACATGGAGTGACCAATCACCGAATATATTTACAAACAGTCAGGAATGATTAATAAGATAAATCTACTTGAAAGTTCGAAATAAAAAATATAGTACTTTTATTGATCAGATTATAATGTTATATAAAGTTGTTTAAAGTGGTCAGAATGAAAGTCCGAATCACCTAAATTTAAGCATTATTTTCGTTTATTCCTAGACTGATCGTTCACTGCTCGAGGATTATTTAAAATAGTGCTATAATTGCAGAATGAATCTTCGTTTCACTCCGATTACAATACTCCCTTGCCAGGAGTCCAAGGTGAAAAATTTCGACTACGTGCGCCACTTACGATCCGAATATCAATTGAAAAGTATTGATTTTTCTTTCGATTTTCGATTTTTCCGCGTTGAATTACATAGGTAGTAAATGGAATATGACCTATTTATAAGCTGCACGCTTGAGATGATATAATTATTAATTTAAATAGATTACTATCGTTATGTACATGTTTTTCGTAAAGCCGCAGTTAGGTTTATTTACATATAGTTTTAAGCAAATGTCGACGTTTCTAACTGGATTTTTTGGAGCGCGGAAAATAGTTAACGATCATAAAACTAAATATTTTTAGTAACTTAATATGCTTTGTAATCATTTTTTTTTTTTTTTTTTACTTGGATAAACGAAAAAATTTTGTATTGTTTTGTTGTTTTCTTTTGTGCCACGATTACATTCAGCCGAGATTTTTTAGGTTATCGACAACATCCGGCGATGACAAACAAGAACTCGCCAGTGGAACTCATAGCGGTCGTGTTGATTTTTCTCCCATCCGTATACGAACTCACCAGTAGGTTCTTTTACATATGGGTCCGGCGCACAACTCGACGGCGAATCGGAGTCGCCAGTGGAAACGTTGTGCTCGCGCCCAACGAACACTAGGGTTGGGGATCAACCGATAGATTTGCTGCGTTAAGGTACGTTTTCCTTTACGCGATCTTAGACCTCACATAATTATCGCGCGACTACTGATACAATGCAAATCAAATAGAGTTGTTCCTCTTCAATCGGTCACGGTCAGCGATCCAAATTCGTTGGATCGATTTGTTGTTTAACCTAACCTGGCTGTGGGAATATAAATTACTTAGACGTCACGAAGTCGTAAGGAACAGACTAGGAATTGGGCATACGCGGCTTCCTCATGAAACGTGGAGACCTTGTCAATTTTACAATTCGCGGAGAAGCTCTAACCGTCAAACGCGTCTTTCTATGCTGTCGCAATAATGCGGACACCAGAATATCTTCAAACATACCGAAGCACCCGTACCAATCACTCGGGCCAGATCACGAAAACTCCAACGAAATGTGATCTTATCTGATCCTATCGTCGTTTTCTCTCTCTTTCCCTTTTGCACGTATTAGGATTAATAATATTGTGATGATGTAAAAAAAAAAAAAATGTATAGTGTCTAAAATATCGAAAGCCTAAACATTAGGCGTCGATGCTTCGAATAAAAAAAAAAAAAAAATAAAAAAATAAATAAATTAGCAACGCGAGGTGGGTGGTCGCATACGTACCGGTTACCATGTTTGCGGTGTGCGTGGGGAAGTGGAACTGCGACTCGAAGTACTTGGGCAGAAACGTGTAGATGCCGGCCAGCGGCAACAGGTGGAACACGCTGCTCGCGGTCCGGTACATGAGCATTTCGTTCTTCAGCAGCCTCTTGACCGCGGTCGGGAACCCGTTGAGCCGAGGCGCTTTGGTCGGCGCGGCGGCCGCGGCGTCCACGCCGTTGCCGTACGCGGTCGGCGGCGACGGCGTCGGAGGCGCGTCCGCGGCGCCGGTCCGGCCGTTGGCGAGCTGGTGCTTCTTGGCCGCGGCGGACGGCGACGCGGGCGAGCGCAACCGTTTGGGGAACGCGAACATGGGCACGGAGGCCAGCAGCAGCGTGGCCGATATGCCGACCAGGCCCAGCCACCAGGCGCCCACCCAGCGCGGGTGATCGGTGTTCATGTTGGGCTCGGTGCTGAGGTCGGCGTACAAGCTGGTGCAGAACGCGCCCAACAGGAACCCGAACGACGGGCCCAGTATGCGCACGCCGATGGTGATGGAGAAGTACAGCGGCGACTCGCGGCTGGCCACGTTGTCGTCGATGAACGGTATGCCCAGCGTGTACACGGCCGTCTGGGCGATGCCCACGCCCAGCAGGCTGGTGAAGAATATGGTCAGCACGATCTGCGTGTTCTTCGACTGCTCCTGCTGCTCGGACAGCGTGTTCGTCTCGCACGAGTCCTGCTGCGCCCACGGCGGCCGCGCGACCGTCCCGTTGGCCGCCGCCGCGGCGTGCTTCTCCGGCGCCACGCACATGTTCGGCGGATAGTAGTCGTCCGCGTCGGAGGTCGCGTTGGCCGGGCCCGCCAGCGGGTACTGGTGGTGCCCGAACAGGAAGTGCGGCGACGAGCACGCGAACGCGGCCACCCCGAACAGCACCATGCTGGACGCGATCCACCGCGGCCGGTGGCCCTGGCCGCCGTAGTACGTGAGCAACAGCGACGAGCTGATCTGCCCGATCTCCGTGGCGCTCAGCACGATGCCCATCGTCTTGCTCTGCAACTGGAACAGCTTCTCCAGCGTGGTGATCACGCTCACGAAGTACGTGGAGAACATGCCCTGCAGCACCCAGCTGAAGCAGAACGTGGCCAGGAACACCTGCTTCGAAGCGAACACCTGCATCCACTTGGACCGGCACGGCCCGATGCCGCATTGCACCCCGCCGCCTCCGCCGGTCGTCGTCGTCGTTACCGCCGCCGCCGACGCTTCGTCGTCGCTGCATCCGCCGTCCGCCGCCCGTCCGACAGCGGTCAGCATGGCGTCCGTCTGCCCAGCCCGGTCCTTGAACGCGGTGGCCATGTCGTCGTCCGGCCACACGGTCGGTGCACGTCCGCCGCCGGCGGTGTCGTCGTCGTGTTCGGCTCGGTCAGCGGCCCGTCGTCCGGTGACGCGTGCCTGGAAAAAGTACCGGACGATAAACATAAACAGAACGTCGTCTCGAACGAGCGCTTAGATGAACGCGTAGGCGTCGAGGTGGGCCCTTGGTGCGCTGCTCGGAATTTTCCTTATCGAAAAAAAAAAAAAAAAATGTTTCCACCGGACACGCAGACATTTCAGACGGCCGAACGGAACTTTTGAGAAAATCGAATATTATTGGCTCCACCGACACCGACGACAGAACGATATTTCACGTTCTACCGGTGGTTACCGCGATACGGGTTTGGAAAAAACGTTGTTCCGCACGGGGGACGATCCGATGGGGGGGGGGGGTTGGTTTCCGGGTCTCGACCCGTTGATTGACAAAATTTAAAATTCTCACGGTGCAAACCGCTGTTCGTATAACGTGTTCGTTATCGTATATCGTACAGTGCGCGATGTAAAAAAGATATATATGTTTTCGTGGTCCGATGTACATAGTAAAACATCAAACATAACGTGAGGGTACACGTCTTTCGGTCACCGTCAATATTCCCTCCTTGTTGGTCTCCCCTACTGGGTTGGTAATTTTGAAACCGTTTGAAGAATTCCAGGGTACGTCCCTGATTCCGGACGCAATATTCGTTTACGGAGTCGTCCACGATTATTCCTATAAGTTCGAATGCGTTGTCTACAGAGCACCGACGAGCGGCGGAAAACGTTTTCGAATATCGTACCCAGGTACAAATCGCCGACCGAAAAGAGTAATAATTGTATTGCTCTCGTTGAAGTATTTTCGGTTGTCGCGCGACGAATCCCGGAATTTTACTTAAAAAAAAAAAAAAACAACAAAAAAAACCACGAGCGTTTCGTTTCGGCTCTTAACGTTTCGTACGATCGATCGAATTCCGGTAACGAAAACAACGCGAACTCGAAAACTTCGTATCGTAGACGATGACGATGATGATGATGATGACGGTTGTCACGGTCGGCGGAAAAATAGCGAAACCGTAACTCGTCGCGGCCCCTCCGTCCCCCTCCTGACGGTAATGATAGGTGCACACGGGGTACCCTAACCGCGTTCGCGTGTAGAGACCGCGGTTAGAGCGCCGGACGGCTCTCCCTTTCCGACGTGACCGAGGTGTATTACGAATATTACGCACGTCGTACGTACGCGCAACGTATTATTACGCCCCAAGGGCATCCCCCCCCCCCC